TCCTATCAACGCTGTCTACCAGGCCTTACTCAGGATCTGTAGGATCAAGGTTTCCAGGAAAATTCTGGAACTTGTATCTAAGGCATAATTGCCAACTCCTACTTGGAACAACCCGCCCCATCACATTTTAAATGCCTTTGATTGAAACATTCTAGCCTAAGATGTCAAGGTCTAGCTCAGTCATTTTGCTCTTGAAGGTTGACCAGGCTTCCCTTGGGTCACCATTACTGGAGGCAGTATGGCTTGTGAGGCCATGGGTCATAGAGAATATGGGTGAGGTTGTTGTTGTCCAGGAAATGGCACCAATAGACATTCAAAGGGGAACATTCCCATAACCTGAGCTAGTGACCAACCTCTGCTACACGAGGAGCTGGAGTTTGGCACACACCACAGGAGACCTGAATACCCAGCACCCAGGCACTCAAGGTGGTAGGTGCCTTGCCCAACTGCCCCACCTCAGGGCAGGGTAGATACTCAATGTGCCAAAGGTATAAGTAGATAGTTTCCTGGAGAGTCATCCAGTATTCCTGTGATGGTCATCTTCTCTTCCCTGTCCCAAGGGTCCTCAGGTAGGAAGCAGAGAACATTAGGAACAGCTGCCCTAACCACCATCTCCTGCCAGAATTGGGCTCCAGTCACAGATCCCAAGTCTCCAGTATCTCAGGCTGATTGTCCAATTGAGCTTACTATCATTTACGTCCTCTTCCCCCAAAGACACACGTTCTCCCTAAACTCTGCACCTTTTGGAAATCAAGCTACCCTTATGATCATCCTGTTAGCCAGCGCTCAGTGCTGAAGCCCACAGCTCCCACAGCCCTGTACAAGGCAGCAGAGCCCCCACAACTGAGAGAGACCAGGGTCAAGTCACATGCTAATCATTCAAGAAGAGAAAGCAGAGCCCAGGTCCTTGGGGGAATGAGGATAGGGAAGTAAGACAAAAGATGGAGCCTGCATGGAAGCTGTAACTTTGTCTAACTGGCTTAGTTATTTGAGACAGGACCTTACACTGTAGCTCAGGCTGTGGTGGCACTATGTAACTCAGGCTGGCCTCAAACCTCTGAAATCCTCTTGCCTCAGCTGCCCAAGTGCTGGGATTAGAGGTGTGAACTGTGTCTGGCAAGGTTCCCCTGGGCTTTTTTTTTTTTAAGAAAAAAAGTGTGTTAGGGGCCAAAAACAGGGTCTTGGGTATGCAGTTATGCTGTGAAACTGAGTTACACCCCAACCATCAGTTTGCAGAGTCTCTGCCTAACATGCATGAAACCCTAGGTTGGAACCCCAGCACTGAATAAAACTAATAGCGGTGGCAGGCAGCTACATCAGCATTCATTCAGCAGGTGGAGGCAAGAGGATCTGACACTTAAGGTCATCCTGGGCTATGTAGAGAGTTCAAGACCACTTAGGAAACACAAGACCCTTTCTCATAAAAACAAAAGCCAAATAAACAAACCAGAAAAAAAAAAAAAAAAAAAAAAAAAAACAAAAAAAAAAAAAAAAAAAAAAGAAGAAGACAGGGTCTAACTATGTGTCTAAGCTGGCTTGGAGCTCCGGGCTCAAGGCACCCTTCTGCTTCAGCCTTCTGAGTGGGTAGTTATTAAGTGTGTGTAACTTAATAACTTAAGGGCCTGACCAAAGCACCCCCTTACCCCCAATCTTCTGTGAGATCCTGATGTCAGGGAGGCTTTAGGTTTTGGGAGTGAGGGTATCGGCAGGGTATTTCAAAACCCAGAAAACTTTTAGAAAGTGAAACCTCTCAAGGCAGAGCTGCCAACGCCCTCCTTCCTGCCCTTTGTGACTAAGGTGTAACTGCCCCAGAAAAAAGGCAGCACTAGAGAGCCAGTGGGACAGACACCTACTCATGGGCTGGAGTCTGGGGGTCCTGCCAGGGTCTCGATCCCGTACTCACATTTAGCAGCGGTGTAGCTGGTTGCTGCAGGCCTTGAGTCAGGAATTTCCCTACCCACACTGGGGATGACTTCCCCATAGGGCTGGACAGGCAGGGGCGGAGCTTGGGTATTTAAAGGGCCCTGCAACTGTATCTTTCCTCCTCCAGGCTACAGCTGAAGAAGACACTGCAGACTGGTGCATACTCAGTAGTTTCTGCCTCAGTACTGACTGTGGGACTGGACTGAGAATAGGAAGTGTCAGAGGACCAGACTGGAGGGGATGATGGCTGGGTACCTTTGCCCTTTCAGGCGTCACTATTCCAACGCGGAGGAATACAGTTCTGCCTCTGCCCAAGTGACAGCACATGCCTGGGTTCAGTGGCAGTCTCTGCCAAAAGACTCATTCTGCATCTTTTATTAGGCTCAGCAAACCCAGCTCAGAACTGCAAGCAGACATTCAACAGAACACACACTCTCCTGCAAGGCACTGCGCTGGGAGCTTGAAGCTTTTCTCTGTGACAAGCTTCCCAGAGCCTGGGCTGGGAAGGGCTGGCCACGACCAGCAGAAAAAGTCTGCACCTGTAGGCCCCAGCAGCAATAGTCAGTACTTCCGTTGCCGGGGAAAGAGACTGCTCCCGGAGGATCGGAGCGGAGGGCTGGCAGGGCTGGGGCTCTCTGAGTCTAAGCTGAAGAGGTCTCTCCCAGTGCGAAGGATCTGTTCCTCTAGTTTCTTATGTCGCTTCATGTCCGAGAGGACCTTGTCCAGGCGGGCTTCGCGTTTCTGGCTCCGGGCTGAGCTTCCTAAGAAGGTAGGAAGTGAGACAGGATTGAGGCAGCGAGCACCTCCGGCCCCTACACTTAGAGACCTTGTTGAACACATCCATTTTAGGCCTCAGCACAGAGGAGCTAATGCTTCAGGCTGGGCCACACACAGGATGACTGACATGTGATGGCTGGGGAGCATACTGGGTGTGTGTGTGGGGGGTGACAAGTGCAAGGGTCCTGGGGCACTGGGGTGGGGATAGAGGACAGACAACTTAGATTCTCCCTGGTCATGTTACCTGTAATGGAACCCTCTGGAGGACTACAAGCAGAGAAATGACAAGGACTACTCTGGTTGCCAAGACCAGAAGCAGGGAGACCAGTTAGAGCTGTGGAAACTGTCCAGCAGGAGAGAGATGGTATTAAAGGTACATCTGTAGACATGGAGCTAATGGAACTTGCTGTTGGCCTGACCAGGTGGGAGAGAACTCAATGATTCTGAGTAAGTCTCAGAAGGCACGTGGGCTGGGATGGCAGATCAGTTCTGGGGATGTACACAGAGCTACATAATAGTGTCCTAGAATAATGACCAGCCAACTTTGAACTTCTGGGAATAAGATGAAATGAACAGGCAAAAGAAGGTCTGTGGGTCTCTTAGAGGAAAAAGTAAGGCACTGACCTAAGCCAGAAATACCCTCCTCCTGTGTGTATGCTCCATCCTGCGGCTGGTTTGATAGCAGCCGATGGAACACTTTGGGATACACAGAAGAGGCCCGGGGCCTCCCCTCAATTCTTCCCTCTTATTCGTACCTGGCGTACGTCTTCTGTCAATCAGTGAGTCCTTCGGTGTCATTGGCTCATCATCAAAGTCAAATTCTGTAGGCATGTGCGGCCTGAGACAGGGTGAACAGAGAATGACGGGTGAGGGAGGCCCTCCCAAACACCTGCTGGCTCAACCCTCCCTCCAGTTTCTGTGCTCAGGAGAACAGTCCCAGGGGCAACGTAAAGTTATGGTCTCACTTTTCCTCCTCCTCCTCTTTGGCCTCCGGCTCCTCATCTGATCTCTCCTCTTCACTCTGGGCTTCAGGAGTAGGTGGCCGGCGGGGCAGGATCTCCGCTTGAAGCTCCAGAGTACCCTGGGCAGCCAGCAGTTCATAGAGACGCTGGATTTCGGAGGGTGGGGGCATCCAGGACTGCCCATTGGCCGGCAGCTCCACCTCCTCATCGCTGCAGGGCACGCACCAGTCTTCGGATTCTCCCTCGGCGCGCTCGTCGCCCGCAGCGTTGGGAGCTTCTAGTGCCTCCTCAGCCCTGGATCCCTCACGCCCGGCCTCCTCCCGACCTCCTTGCCCCTCTTCCTCGGCCTTACTAGCCGAGACAGAGGGACCTCCGGTGTCCTCCACCGCCAGAGCCTGGAGGCCGGAAGTCACTTCCCCTTCTTCAGACAGAGGCGCCGTTGTGCTGCCTGCAATGGTTCCATGGCCCAGGGACATAGAGCACTAGAGAAGCCCAGCAATGTAAGAGATTCTGGAGTACCAGACCAGGGCGCCTCCCCCAAAAGGACTGAAATCCACTGGGGTTTACGAAATCTCCAACCAGTCAGTCCAACACTGACTGCGGCCAGAGACCCGTCCCCAGGAGGGGGCGCTCAGATCCCGGCAAGGACAGACCCCACCCCACGGATCCAGATCCAGAATCCTGCCGTTCCCGGGGACCCGCAGGAACCGCGCTCGGAGCTGGAAAGGGGAGGGCCTGCTTTCTCGCTTTCACATCGCCCTCTCCAACACCTGGACGGGAGTCATTTCCTTAGAGCTCGCAGACCTAGTTCGTCAACTCAGCGGCCGCTCCCGGCCGCGCAGGGTCGCAGCACGCAGGCGCAGAGAAATGGCGCGCGGAGACTCGACTGTAATCAGAGCTACTCGAAAGAGGGAAGAGAAGGCTGGCGCATGCGCGGATAGGCCTGTAGGCACCACTAGCTTCGGCCCACACTAAAGATGGCCACTGCGGCAGCGCATGCGTATTTCGTTCACTAGGGCCTGCCAGAAAGCAGTGCCTTGACTCTGCAAACGAACACAGGGACCAACTGAGGCGAGTCTCATGCATTCTCTGTTTATTGGTGTTTACGACTCATGCAGCATTCAGCATACAAAAAGGGAGACTCAGTTTGATTTTTTTTTTAAAGGAATTTTAGTTTCTCCCAACTTTTTCTTAAAGGAAACAACCCCCCCTCCCCAACTCCAAAATGCATTGCAGCTGGCTCCCTGCCTCCTCAGAGGGCTGTGGCGTGCAACACCTTATCCTCTTAGAGAATAATAACAGAACTTCCCCCACCCCTCCCTCGCTCCCTGCAGCTGGGAACTTTGGTCCTTTTTTTTCTTTCTTTCTTTTTTTTTTTTTTTTAATTCTATTGTTTACAAAGCAAGTGAATGGCCCCAAACCCCCAGACCTTCAAACAAGAAACTCTGAGGTTAAAAGCCCGAATGGGCAGGTCAACTCAGGCTGCGGCACTCCTTCCTCCCCTGGATGTTTAGAATGAGGACTCCCACTCTCACCTTCCCCCAGGTGAGGCCTGGCTTGCCAATTCTGCAACCCGGTAGGCACCTTAGGGATTGGGGTCAGGGTATGGCCTGGGCCCAGATGGTCCCCAGTAGAGAACAGTCAGAGCCCCTAGCTAGGCAGTCCTCTCCTCACACTGTCCTCCTCCCTCAGCCTGACCTAAGTACTGCAGCTTTTTACAGAATAAGTGGTGCAGGAAGGTGAAGATGGTAGCAGGGAGATGAGAAGGCAGAGGAGTCAGGGATGTGGCAAGGGGAGCAAGGTGTTAAGGAAGGAAGAAAAGAATGAGTTAGATGCCAAGACAATGACAGTTAGGAGGTGGGGGTTAATTCAGGTTCAGAGGAGTCCAGAGGCAGGAAGAAGTGCAGTGGGCTGGGAGAGATGCAGAGGTGCAGAGTACAATTTAGATGTTCAGGAAGGCTTCCAGAAGTGCAGAGAGGTTTTTCCGAGTGCAGGGTTAGGGGGGATCAAGAGGCAAGAAGGGAGATCCGCAGGCAAAAGTGCAGGGAGAAAGGAACCCTGTGGCTGGCAGTGGAGCCTGGCAGGATGCAGGAGCAGGAAAGAGCTGTAAACAAGGCTGCTCAGGCTCCCTTGGTCCCTAGGGATGGGGGCCAGGGCCATGGACTGGGTTTCCCCCAGGGTAGGGATGGACCCAAGACAGCTCCCAACAGGAAGGAAAGTCTTGGAATGCAGGGCAGAACCCCTCACTTATACACTGTGGGAGAGGAGAGGGAAAGACAAACAGGGAAGGAGACAGGAAGAGACAAAGAAATAGGGAGAACAGACAGGAGAGAGCAGGGTAAGGGGTTAGTAAAGCTGCCCTTGTCAACCCTTCCACTCCTCCCTTTCCTGTCCCCGACCGACCCCCACTCACCGCCCAAGTTGATGACGCAGGAGGCGATGATGATGAGGACCCCCCCCACCAGCGCCACGATGCTTAAGAGCTTGGCTACTCGGCCCAGACGTTGAGCCCCGTCCACGTCCCCCTGTTGCAGGCTGTTCCGGGACTGGGGTGCGGGTGAGGGGGGTTGGAGGTGTCATGGCCCAGGTCAACAGGAGCCAGCCCAGCAGGGATCAGGTGAGAATCCAGAGGAAGGAGGTCAGCCCATGGGGTTAAGAAAGGAAGGATTGGGAATGCAGGAGGAAGAGGGCACACAGGTCAGCAAAGTTACATGAAACATCTTTTCCCTCCCGCTTAAAGGGCAGGGCAGGGCAGGGCAGGTCGAGAGTGGCTTGGAGGGTTAGGTCCTGGGGAGAGGCAAGCAAAGGTCCAGCAACTGGGAAAGTGGGGTCCGTGCGGAAAGAGGAAAGGGAGTGTGTCATTTCTGGGGCTTTATTCTGACACTAGCGGGAAGCTGGGAGCACAGTATGCCTGGGCCAGGGTCCCTTTGGGGCTCACCATGACGGCATAAGCGAAGGCCACAATGTTGACAGGCCACATGGGGCAGAAGCAGGACAGGATGGCAAGGATGATGTAGTCCCGAGGTTTCTGGGTGCCATCACCCCCTTCCACCCCAGGTCCTGCCAGCTGGGAGCTGGGATGACGGCTCAGGCTACCTCGAGGAGATCCTGGATGCCCACTATGAGCCCTTCCTATTCTGTCCTCCTCAACCAGCTTCTGCAGCACCCGGGGGGGAGCCCCATTGGCTGGTGGTGTTTCAGTTGAGGGTGGTGAGTGAGGCTGGGGGGCTGGGCCCTCTTCTCCATCACCGGCCTGAAGGGGAACCACTGCTCCATTTTCTTGCTTTTCCCCTATACTTTCTGTCGGGACCTCAGTGGTAGGGTCCTCTTGGGTGGGGGCCTCTGGCTGAAGGGGTAGCTTAGGAGCAGACTGGGAAGTTGGCTGAGGATCTGGCTGGGGATTTAGGTGGAAAGCAGGCTCTGAGATTGGCTCAGGAGGGGCTGCAGACTGCTGCTCAGACCCCTGCTCTGCTGCAGCTTCTTTGTTCACATCTGGTTTGGATGCTGACTCTTGGCATGCCTCTTTGGGGCTGGGGCTGGCCTTGGATTCTTCGGGTGGGTTTAAGCTGAGGTCTGCGGCCTGGACTATTTCTGAGGCCTCAACTGGGGTCTCTGTGGTTTCTGAGGCCAGCTCAGCCTTAGGCCCTGAGTCCACAGGGGCTTCAGTGATACCTGGGCCGGGCTGAAGGGCCTCTGGCTGGTCTGGAATCTCTGCTACAACCTGGACAGGACTTAGGCCAGCTTCAGAATGGCCAGGTCCTTCTCTCTGGGTCTTGGAACTATCTTCTAGCTCCTTCATCTCAGAGACCTCAGAACTGCTGGCTGCCATCTTAGAGAAGGGAGATAGGAGAGGGCCCGTGGGAAAGAGGGAAGAGCAGTGACAGTGGCAAACCCTGGAAGAGGAGGAGACAGTCTTGGTGAGGCGGCCAAGGCTAGCCTGTACTGTCCCTAGGGAGACGAGGAAAACTTGGAGTTTCCTTTGCTTGGAGGTGGGACACCCTTGGTGAAGTAAGTCTGCTTGGAGAGCCCTGGTTAGATAAACCCTTTTCTAGACAGAGCCCCTCTAGATCTGTTCCTGGATCCATCCAACATACCAAACAAGACCCAGTCTCTCAGATCCCACCTCGGAGGTGCCTCAGCTCATCAAAATCTGTGTACATAACAGACACTCCAACAGGCAGACTGACAGAGAACCCCAGACATTCTGTTCCTTTTGTACCCTTCCCTCCTTTCTGGGCACCACCTGAGCAGTGCGGGTTTTCCTGCTGCGCATTTGGGTTCAAATGCCCACCCCCAACCTCCTCCCCGCCCCTTTCTGTAGACACCTAGCATCTTGGGTGTCACTTCTCAGCCCTTCTTTTAGGGGTTCTCTTGTTGCTTTCAGAGAGGCTGAGGGGGAGGGGATCCTCTCCCGATGGCATGGCGCACCCAGCACCACCCTCTAGTTCGCCTGGCACCTGCATTCCCATGCCACCCAGCTGTCTGTCGTCCACTCCTACCAGCGGTCTCAGTTTGTCCCAGTCTCATCCGCCGCCAGCCTGGGGACTGCTCCTGCGTCCCGCCGCCACTGCTGCAGCAGCAGCAGCAGCCGCAGACAGGGAGGGAACAAGTCTGTGAGCAATGAAGGGAGGTGGCGGATCTCCCCTCCTCTCTCCTCCGGGTTTGCTCGGCCCTTCTTCTCTGGTCCCCTCCCCTAAGCTGCACTGCTGCCGCGCCGCCCCCGCCCCTAGCACGCCTCCTGCCCCTCCCGGACAGCCCAAGGGAACCTCGTGCCAGGCCCCGTGTTACCTGGGAAACCGGCCCGGGGACCACTCGTGCCCCCTCCCTGACCTTTCTCACGCGCACCTCCAGGTGGGGCACCCCCCTTCCTAAGCCCTCAGCCCCTCCCGCCAACGGTCACCGGGGGATCCTGGCACAGACCTGGGTTTGTGAGACCGACCAGTGACGACTGGGAGGAGGCATCCTGAGCAGCATAGATGGGTTAAGGAGATAGGTCTAAGTTTGGGGCGGCTGCAGGGGTACAGCGCGGGGTTTCAAAAGAAGGGAGCCTGCAGAACTGAAGCCTCTCTACTCCAGGAAAGCAGCATGCTTAAGGGAGGGTCTCTAGAAAGGTCTGCGCAAAACCCAGAAAAAAATTCCAGCAAGCTAGGCAGTTGCGCAGGGCTGCCCTGGAACAGCTAGGGCAAGCAGCCCATGTGGAACTGAACAGTTTACCCAACCTTTCTGCATCTGCGTCAACCATAGCCTCAGAGATCTAAATGTGCAGACATTTGGCAGGGTTCTGTGCAGTCTGCTGCTGGGTTGTGGAAGGGAGGATAGCATGAGTAGCTGGCTAGCTTGGGCATCCCAAACCTCCAATGGGTATTCCTTAGAGACGTGGAACTTGCTTTCCACAGCCTCTGGATTCTTGAGTACACCCTAATCTGTGCTGTAGCTAGAGGCTGTATCTCAGGTGGGGAGTCAGTAGTTTGCAGGGCAAGAAAAGCTGGAACTAAGATGAAGGCCAACAAAGAACCCCCGCCCCCCTTACACACACACACACACACACACACACACAGAGAGAGAGAGAGAGAGAGAGAGAGAGAGAGAGAGAGAGGAGGGGGTGTGTAAGTTGGTGAAGCTAACTTAAGAACCCAGAGACAAATTTTTTATTTAAAATTTATTGTAATGGGGTCTGCGCAAAAGGAGGGAGGGGAGGGAGGGAACATGCAAGGGACACAGGAACACGATGACATGGCCAGGGCCACAGCTTCTGTTGTGGGAAAGAGGAGAAAAGACCAGGGCTGGAGCTGGGGTGGAAGAGGGAAGGGGGAGACACCGTGGCTGCATTCCCCCACCCCCAGGAAGCACCTCTAGTCCCTGGCTCTCCTCCTTTACCCTGGCCCCCTAAGATTCCATCTCTCTTGTTCTGCCTCTGGCCCTAGTGGCTCCTTCTGACACTCCCCTTGGCTTTTCCCTGGACAGATATCCAGTAGGATGTTTAGTGTTCAACCACCCTACCTTACTGAAAGTATCCCTCTGCCTTCCCTTCTTCTGTCCCTCAGTACCACCGTATCCCTCCTCTGGGACAGAATCTTAGTCCCCCTCCTCTCTCTCCTCCCTCCCCCTGGGAAAAAACAACAACAAAAAAAGAAAGCACCAACTCCCCAGGAAGGGGCAGCAGACAGTAGGAGAGGGGACTGCAGGAGGAGAGCACAGGACCTTCTAGGGAAAGGCTCACAAATCCCTGGGAGGAAAGGCAAGGGGTTTAAAGGTTGAGGGCAGTGACTGCTGCTGTCCTCTGCCACCCCTGCTCACTGTCCAGGGGACTTCAACACAACTCAGGGGACAGGTGTTTGGAGGGTCAGCTCTGATAGGGAGAAGAAAGGAGCAGGAGAAACATTGTTAAACCTAGTGAATTCCTTCTTCCTCCTCTGTCTGGAGGCTCCTTGGTTGATGGTGAGCAGTGAGGAGTTGGTGAGAAGAGGAGACTGTACCAAGAAGAGCTTTCCTCTGCTCTTCCCCTCGCTCCCATCAACTTGGAGCTCACCAGGGCTGGGAGGGAAGTGGCTGAGAGCTCACTGGTACCCCCTCTGCCCCAGAGAGGGAGCCCACAGCTGTGGGAGGGGCTGCCACTGCTGCTGCTGCCGCTGCTGCTGCTGCCGCCGCCGCCGCCATTGGACAAACCTCACCAGTACCTACAGTGAGAAACACCAAGGATCACAGCACAACCTGAATGGCAAGAAACATGCTCCATACCCTCAGATTTCCCAACTATTTCCCTACTTCCCCTGGGACACAGCCGTTACTTCCTATCTGGCCCCCAGAGACTCTGACCTGCCTGACTTACCCACACAGCAATTCTGTACTACCTTCTCTGGACCCCAAGTCTCCCTAATCTGAGTGACAAACTGGCATCCCTGGCCTTCCTGAGATCCCCTATTGGGCCCTTTGAAGTCCCTTGTCCCACACATCCCATCCTGCCCCCCCAGCCATGTCCCACGCCTTGCCTGGTGGGTGCAGGGGTCCCCCTCAGCAGGTAGGCTGTGGCTGGGGGGCATCTCCCCAGACAGGAGGGGCGGCCCCCCCCAGATGGGTCTGCATGTGGCCGGCCAGCTGGGCAGGGGTCTTGCAGTGCACGCTGCACAGCTTGCACAGGATGCGGTCAGCCCGCGGGGCCTGGAGCCCATGGTCCTTCACCGCGTGGATGCGCAGGTATGCTGCTGTGGTGAAGCCTATGGGGGGGGGTGGATTGGGATGGGGAGTGGGGGGTCAGCCTGGTGGAGACCCCAGAGACAGGGCTGTTCTCCTAGGCTGGGGACACCCTCCTCACATGGCACTGTCCTCCTCCCACCACATCCTTGGTAGGCTGGGGCCAACTACTCCACTGGGACATAGCCCTTCCCTGAGCTTGGGGCCTGGTTTGCATGGTACCTGTTTCTTAATCCTTAATACCTACAGAGATCTTCCCCCATAATTGGGAGATCTCTCCCAAATGACAGGACACTGTGGCCTAGCTTTTTGAAGGGTTGACTCTCAGTAGAGACGGCTGTGTCCCCCCCTCTCCAGTGCCCTGGTCTCAGATCGTATAGTGAATAACCACACTGAAAACAGCTTTTTGTTACTGGGCAGGGTGTGTGCTTGTTACACCCGTGCTGATGTTCTCGACTTGCCCCAGGAGCTGGAGACAAGAACTTGTGGCTGCAAAGTTGAAACCCTGGGGACTGGCTTTCTTGAGCCCACTTCATTTTCCCCAGGCACACCCAGGAGGTTGACTCTTTGGTGCACTGTCTCCTCTGGGCCATGGCATAGAATTTAGTGCTCAGTTACTTCCAATGCTGTTGTGCTTGCTTCTTAAAGGGCTCTCTCTACATGCCACGAGCTCTTGGCTACAGCACCCTTAACCCACATCCATGAAAACAACCAACAGCGTTGTGCCCACCTACTCCCACTTTGTCCCTGCCCTCCTGGCATCCCTTAGCATGTACCTTTGTTGCAGAGCTCACAGACATGGTGAGGGCCCTGGCTGTGCACCTTCATGTGGTCCGAAATATAAGCGGAGCTCAGCATCTTGCCACACACATGACATGGCACCTTCTCCTCGTGTCGTACTGTGTGCGCTCGGAGTCGATCCTTCGTAGCAAAAGCTGCCTCACATTTCTGGGGGGGAGGGCGTGGGGGGGTCACAGGAGAGTTAAAGCTTCGGGGAGTAGAGAGAAGGGGGCAAGATAAAGGGATCAGAGCCTTGGGGGTCTTTGATCTGTAGGAAATGGGCGTGAGATGACCAGGCCTTGAAGGAGAAATGCGAAAATGGAGTGAAAAGGCAAAAAGAGAGAGAAAAAGGGGGTCTGAGAGGTTGAACTCAGACAGCTACAGTGAGGATCAAAATCATGAAAACCAGGACAGGAGGCAGCGGGCTTCCTACCTCACATTTGAAGGGCCGCTCTGTTGAGTGCACTTGTCTGACGTGACTGTTGAGGTGATCCGGCCTAGGGATATGTTGAGGTGGGGGGGGGGGTTAGGGCTAAGGCTCCAAGGTGAGATGCTTCTCAAATCTGCCTAGATTTCTCCAAAGTGCCTTTCCAAGAACCCCAGAATTTTCCCCTACATCTTTGGTCCTTAGACAGGAAATCGCTCAAAACAGGATTCTATCTCTGCCCAGAAGCGGCTTTCCTCCAGCCCAAAGACCCACCTCCTCTCAAGTACCACCCCCTGCTCCCAGTAACCACGAGGCTCACTTCCCTCCTCCCTGGGAGTGGTTCCTGTCCCCAGCATCGGGAGCCGCCTCCCCACCAGCCAAAGACAGGCCACCTTGTTGCCCTCCCCCCACCATCGGCCTAGTGGGCAGCCGAGGCCCCTGCACACCGGGAGAAGCTCTTGCCACAGTGGGAGCAGTTGTAGGGCTTGTGCACAGCGCCGTCATGTGAGCGCACGTGGTAACTCATGCGGTCCTTGCGCTTGAAGCGCTGCTGGCACACAGGGCACTGGTAGGGCTTCTCGTCCGAGTGCGACAGCTTATGTCGGTTCAGGTGGTAGACGTCGCGGAAGGCCTTGCCGCACATCTCGCAGGCGTGATTCTTCCGGATGCGCTTTCCAGAGGCGGGGGGGGGCGCAAAAACCCCCCCACGCCCCCCGCCTCGGGCCCCCCCCCCCCCCCCCCCCCCCCCCCCCCCTCAGCTGGGGCACGCTCAAGAGGCTCAGGGGCACCATGGTGGGCATCTTCATAGCACCCGAAGGGACCCGGCCAGCCTTGGCTCCTGTGTGGATGGCTTCGTGCCTCCGGAGATTGTAGCCGTTCTTGAACTCCTTGGCGCACAGGGCGCAAATGTAGGGCCCCTTGCTCTTTGTCTTCTTCTCCAAGACAGATGCAACAGGGGCCACAGCGACTGTAGAGGTTGGGGGGA